CCCGGAGTGGCGACTATTTTGCGAGCAGGCCAAGAACATATTGTCGAGCCACTTGTGATAATGATAATCAAAAATAGACGACAAAAATGATTAATGCAATTAGGACTGCAAGAAAGAGTAGTGGTTTTATACTTGGTAGTACATCAAAATAACATCTATATAACTGGCTATCTCCTCAATAAAATAAGGACAATATCAGTAGAAAGTACATTGATTTAAATATTAAAAAATGAAAATTTAATAATTAAAGGTCATAAGACTTGCGAAAACATAATTTCGTAGAAAAGAATGTAATTAAATTGAACACTATGAAGAGAAACACGAAAAATTTCACTTTAGGTGCATAAGAGATCCGGTGGGTCGCTGGAAACAAACTGAAACAACTACCGAAAGTTTAGAAGACAAAAATAGATACAGAATATTAGATATCTATGAACAGCAAAAAAAAATTATTTTAAAATGAGGGTATTAATTATCGTATATCATAAGATAACCACATCGATCGTCGCATGAAAACTGTTTCTTCAAGAGACAAGGAACAGCTGCAGCTGTTTTTATACACCAACAGGTATTCTAGATATCGCCAGCGAAGTAATGAACATCGAGTAAGCATTTTCAAAACGAAATTCCAGGAACATATCGCGAATAAACTATTAATATATCGCCAGGTAAAATTTTCCAGATATTACAGGACTTACAGTCACATAAGTTCGTTTCCTCTTTTCAATCTATATGCTCTGCTGGTCAGTGGATTCAACCCTTGATAAGGACACAGTCTCTCTAGATAGACGACCTTCTGTTTACCTCGTGACGTTAGTTGCACGCTATAAACAAGGTTGTTTATCTTTTTAGTAACCAGGTCCGGTCCTTCCCAGGGCCACTGCAATTTAGTACTTAAACCTTTCCTTCTGGTTAGTTGGTAAAGACAAACTGCATCACTTTTTTTGAAGCTAACGGGAGTGGATTTCTGATCGAACCTAACCTGTATCCGTCTGGTAGATTGCCATGTAGGAGATCGATGGGAAGCTTTATCTCTCGAAAATTCAACAAAATTGCTGGAGTGTAACCAGTTGCTTCATCATAGGAGCTTCGGTATGCTAGTAGAAATAGAGGCACCAGTTTGTTTCAGTCTCTGATTTTCACGTACATACAGGTTCAGTTATGTACTTAAAATGCACCCAGAGCAGCTGTCATGGAGTTATGCAAATACTGGCTTAACACATGACTTTGAAAGAACAACTTGCGGCACCGTTCCATTTGGACTCTCCCATTTACGAGTGATGACGTCATCTAGCAAACACAAGGAGTTTCATTGAAGACAATACCCTTCACTTCTGGCCCATATTTGATAATCTCCTGCCACTGTGGCCTAGCTCTGTTGTCCAACCATTTACAAACTATCTTTACATCTAGATATTTTTTCTGCTCACGGTCTAGTTTTGGATCTGGATCTTTATTCTGTTTACGGACTAGCTTTAGATCTGGATCGTTCTTTGCTCACGTACCAGATTCGGATCTTGATCTTTCTTATACTCAGCCTGTAGATTTTCATTAATTAGAGCTTCTTCTGGTGTGGAGCCTGAGAAAGTGGTTTAATACATCGACAAGGGTTAACTATTCAGAATAGCAGCAAGCAAAGTTAGGATAGCCATATTGATCGCCAACATCCGGAACGAATAGGTACCGTAAGAAGAAGAAGAAAGAGCTTTTTCGATACTTCCTTCCTCTATGGTTTTCAACTATCGAGTCTGGTCCCCTAGTTCTACTTCTCGCATGGCAGAGAAGCCGTAGACATTCACACGACTTCTTAATGCTCGGTGACTATTAAGAAGTCCAATGTCATCTAAACTGTCCCTGCTTTGTCTTATGGTAGATATTAATAACCTAGGACTGCGTTGCTGTGGTGGGAATGGCCTTTCGGTCGATTTTCTGTTCTCTGCTCTTATACATGGGCTGCAATCACGTTGAAGGTGCCCTACCAATCCACAACTGTAACCTTTGGGCCCATGATGTTTTGTTTCAAAGAATCAGCTATTGGGCCGAGATATTTCTCGAATTGGGCGGCCAATATCTGAGAAAACGTATTTAGATGGCCTTCTTCCACTTCAGTAGCACTTTTTACTTGATGTACTTTTCGTTTATGGAGGGGCACATTCTCCACGGCTTCATACTTTGATGCTGCGACCATAGCGTCCTTCAATATTTGGTAACGTCCTCTTCCTAGTCGTAATGTCTGCTGAAGATCTAAATCGCGCAGGCCATCAAGGAAACATGGGATGATTAATTGATGTATCAATCAACTTTTCTACTTTAGCTTCGTATTCGTGCACAGATTCGTTAGAGCCTTGGATACGTACTTTTAGTAGACTCTGGTATACTTACTTTAAATATTAGCTGTCGTATCATATTTCTAAAATCAATATGATGGTTTCATAATTCTTTCATCTATTTTTAATCTAGGCGGGAATTTTCATTAACAAAAACTTATAGAGTAGAATTTTCAAGTAATTACAGTCACATAACAATATCAATGTGAAAGAAGGAACTATAAAAAACTAACCAATCTTGCACAGGGCAGAATTTTACACTCACGTGGTTTGGTTGTAATGCAATGAGTTTTATGTATGAAGAAATAAACCTCTTTTCCAAAGAATTCAGTATCAACCAGATTCAACTAAGAATAAAAAATCTTCTTCTCTAAACATGTTGGTTGGTTATTGAAGAAAAACTACTTTGACTTCATCGTGACAACGTGTGGAAAATGACCGAAAACAAAAACAAGACTAGAACAAAATATATTTCGCTAAATGGAAACAAAAGTTTTAGTTTTGTTTTAGTCTTGTTTTTACTTTTCAATTTTTCGAGTGTTAGAAAACACAAATAAAAAAAACTCAACTGTCTGTTTAGTGGAAAACCACTATTACTTGTAACTTAGTCATGCTAAACGAACTCTTACTACTTTAATTAGATTTTTTCGACAGCTATTTACTATTTTTGACATATAATTGTTTAAATATAATATTTGTAATATTTATTATGAAAAACTTACATCAACATGGAGCCACATGCCGTATTTCTTGCAGATATCAGCAAGCTCGTTGATAGGGTCAAAAGCACCCAAGACTGTGGTACCAGCAGTGCAAGCTACGAAGAAAGGAATGTGTCCTTTATTCTTCCTCTCTACAACAAGCCTTTCAAGCTCTTGAGGAATCATGCGGCCGTGTTCATCTGAAGGAACCATCACGCAGTTATCGGTTCCTAGGCCGCAAACTGAGGCACAGGATTTGACTGAGTAATGGCTCTAAAAACATAATTAATTATTAATATACAGCGGCAAAAAAAGTGGCCACCCTATAAATTTCTAAAAATAAACATTCATTGAAAGTTTTATGCACTGTTTCATATTGCATCTCAAATTAAATATTTTTTGCAATCTCGTATGCTTGTTTTTGGCATTTTCGACGTTTTTGGTTCCGGTCGTAGAAGAGTTACTTCACAAAGAGATGATCGTTTTATTGTAATAGAATTTTAAGAAATCGCCATTCTACTGCAATTGCTGAAGAAACCGTCTTTAGGAAGTTTAAAATGGAAATTTAAGTGAGAGAACGGTTAGAAGACGCCTCAATGAAAGAGGGCTAGTGGCAAGAAGACAAGTTATTGTTCCCGAATTACAACTCAGACACTGTAGGAATCGATTAATTTTTTCTCGACAACATCAACACTGGGATATACAGGATTGGAGCTGAATTCTCTTTACTGATGAATCGTGGTTCTGGTTGAAGTCTGGCGATGACCGAGAGAGGGTTTAGAGACGGAGAAATGAAAGATATGGAGGATGTTTTGGCAGAAGCAGTAGTTTCATTTGGTTCTTTTATTGGGGACAATATCGTCTTTATGCATGATAATGCACGGCTGCGTACTGCAAGAATCCTGACATATTTCTGGGGGAAGTAAGAATTAAGTCTAAAGAACGGCCAGCCTGCAGCCTCGATCTGAATATCATCGAACATCTTTGGGATGAACTTTATCGTAGGGTTATAAGTCAACCAGACCAGCCAGAAAGTCTTGCAGAACTTTAAAGCATACTTCAAGAAGAATATTAAGTTTTTATTCACAATTTATTCCTTTCCCTTCCAATTCGTATGCAAACGGTTATTGATATTTTAGGGCATAATACCCGATAGTATGCAATTTTGTTAAAGTTCAGTCGTAGTTTTTACTACTACTATCAAGGATTTCCACAGTTTTCACTGTCTTCCTTCACTCAACCGTTTTCTCCGATTTTCCCTGTCATTCCAATCTCGCAGGGTTCTTTTCTCCATAGCCTCTTCGATTTCGTCTCTGAATGACCTTCGGGGTCTTCCTCTCTTTCTTCTTCCGATCGGGCTCCATTCTGTAATTTTGTTTATCCAGCGTCCTCTGTCCGCTCTTCTGACGTGACCGTACCAGGATAGTCTCTTCTCCTCTATATAGTCGATTATGTCTGATTGCACTCCCATTCTCCGCTAAATCTCTGCGTTTTCAATTCTGTCTCTTTTTGTAAGTCTACAGCTTCTCCTCAGGAACTCCATTTCTAGTGCTCTTATTCTACCTCTATTTCTCTTGTTTATTGTCCAGTTTTCGGACCCATATTATGTCAGGATACTTCTTGTCAGGGTATTATATATTCTCTTTTTTGTCTTTATCGTAATGTTCTTATCCCACAGCACTGAATTTAGTTGTGTTATACAGTTTCTTGTTTGTCTTAGTCTGTTGTTTATATCTTCTTCTGTTGTTCCCTGGTTCGATATTATGTTGTTCTGAAGCTATTTTCTTGTGGCATTTTAAATTAATTACTATTTAACTGGGAATAAGCCACAATTAAAGATAAAAATACGCTTATTGACGTTTCAATTTCCACTTCGGAAATCGTTCTCAAAATACAAATAGTTTGTAGGCAGTTTTTCAATCCCGTTCCATTCAAGGGGTAATTAATATAATTAGACTAAATAAATTTACCTCTATATTTTATTACGCACCTGGTCTGACGTAAACATAACTAGCTGACCTTGAATAGTAGCAATTCCTTTTTCTTTGTAATTGGGGAACATTTTATGTCTTGCTGCCAAGAAAGCATAGAGATTGGATATTGAACCACCTAAAAATAAATATTAATTAAAATTTTTTATTCCAATAACAATAAAAAAGTTAATATAATGTTACCTGGGGCTAAGATGGAATCTCCTTTTCGCCAGCTTTTGCCGATTACTTCTCTCATGTGAGTCATGACTACATTTTCCATCAAGATAAAAACTGGAGCAATTTCGTAGGTGAACATATTGGTATTGGCAGTAGCAGTTAGCCATTCTCCAGCCATAGAGATTAGGTCCAGTCCGGTGGACAATTGATTAAAGAAGTGAGGATGTCCTATAATGTAAATAATCGAATAAATACATACAAATCTGCATATATTTCAGTAAAAAATATAACATATAAAGATACAATGACAAGAAGGTATCCAAAAATCTGGAAAAAGGTATTGTTATCCCGATTATTAAACCAAATAAATAGAGATTACACACAAAATAAGATCATTCTATATCAATATGTTCTTCGTGTTATCATATTCAGATATCAAATCAGAATTACGGTCTTTGATCTTCAATGAAAAAGCGCAAATTAGAATATCTGGGCCATATTAAAAGAAATAAGCTGAGATATGACTTATTGAAACTTGTTTTTCAGGGCAAAAGTATCAGGGAAAGAAGATTTCATGGCTTCGACAGCAGAACATATTTAAACACAATAACAATCAGACCAGCAGCGACCATAGACTAGTTCGTGCTGATATACGTATTAATGTAAAGAGAGAAAGACGAAAACTAATAACAACAAACCCTTTACCGACGGCAGACATCTTAGCCAGTAATAAAGAGAAATACCAAGAGAAATTAACACGGAAACTAGTAGCAAATACCTTTGAGCACAAGAATATAGATGAACTAGCTGAGAAAATTACTAAAGACATACAAACAGTCACTAAGAAACTTTGTTGCAGAATAAGAAAACAAAAGGAAGCTAAACTAAAACCCGAAACTCTAGAACAGATAGAGAAAAGAAGAAGAACGAACAGAGATATCCCGGACTATAAAGCTATTAGATAAAGCTATATAAAGATATTACAGGAATAAAATCATAAAGATAAAAGAGGACCGTGGAACATTGTGCTCGCACAAGGAAGAGATCGTTAGAGAAATCCGAAAATTTTATGAGAAGCTGTATACTTCTACTATTCTGAACCCCGGTATACCAACAAAACATATCTCAAATGTGGGCTCAGAGGACTTCCCTGAAATAATAACATCAGAAATTAGAGCCGCCCTAAAACAAATGAAAAATGGGAAAACACCAGGAGAAGATAAAATTACTTCAGAGATGCTAAAAATGGGAGGCACTGCATTAGAAGAGGCAATAAGAGCATTACTTAATAAATGCCTATTGGAAGGACAAATACCGAAGACATGGAAAAATGCGGCAGTCATTCTACTCCATAAAAAAGGGGACACCGCAAATGTAGAAAACTACCGACCAATAAGCTTATTGTCACACCTTTACAAACTACTAACCCGAATAATAACAAATATATTGACAGCTGAACTAGATGCATACCAACCAGTGGAGCAAGCAGGCTTTCGTAAGGGTTTTAGCACTATCGATCACTTGCAAACAATTCGGACCATTATTGAAAAAAACAATAGAAAATATTAGAATAGGAATGGAAAACAATAATAATAGGAAAATCAAACCCTAGAAATTAAAAGAAGGACACAATTATCATGGGCTGCTTTTGGTAAGTTGAGCTTCATTTTAAAAGACAGAAAAATCCCAATTCACTTAAAACGAAAAACCTATGACACTTGTATACTACCAGTTGCAACTTATGGATTGGAAACTATGACAATAACAAGAAAAATGGCAGAACAATTAAGAGTAACTAAACGGGCCATGGAGAGGGCCATGTTAAATATAAGCCTCAGAGACAAAATTCCTAACACCGAAATACGTCGAAGAACTAAAGTAACCGACATCATGTGAAAAGTAGCGACATTGAGATGGCAATGGGTAGCACATGTAGCAAGACAAGACACCAACAGATGGTCTCATAAAGTGACATTCTGGAGACCTCGAGAAACACGAAGAAGCGTGGGAAGACCTAAAAAGAGATGGATAGACGATATAACTGCTGTAGCTGGAAAGCAGTGGATGAGAATTGCAAAAGATAGGGAAGCGTGGAAGCAATTGGAGGAGGCCTATGTCCAACACTGGATAAATGAAGGCTGAAGAAGAACAATCAGACCGTCGACCCTATAATCATCGTCAACATCCGGAATGGATAAATACTTTAAGAATAAGAAGAAAGCAATAGAACTGATGAAGCCCATATCCATAAGTTTGTAACGTTTTAAAACTGCTCTTGAAGTAATTTTTGCTTTTTTCATTATTAAACTACTGTTGAATTCTCAAATAAGTCAGCATTTTGTTGAGATATTCAGTTAGATTAAGATAGAAAACAGGACCTCGATTTTGATTGAATCCGATTAAAAAAATTAGCAGAAAACTGAAATTTATTGTAGTATCGAAACAAACCTAAATATTTCAAAAATGTTAAGAGAAATTTTTATTGGTAAATATCTTTTTAAAAGAAGTGCACATTCCTGTACTTTTAAGTCGTTGGAATGTCAGAGGGTGGCTCTAATCCAGCGTGGGACAGTGACTGCCTTACGGATCGATGGGGGCCGCTTTGAGTGCCCTTAATTACACTCCTCAAATCCTGGGGTGCAAACTTTGCTGTTTATATTGTTTGCAGTACAGCGAGCATCGTATTCTACGACTTACGTTATAGTATTATGTAAATTAGTACATTTTAAACATTTTCAGAGATCTATAAGAGAGTCTACGTCTGAAAGTCATAGAGTAAAAATACTTCTATTATTTCGAGAAAGGCGTCTTTCTCGAAATTACATTTTTCGAAACTGGGAGACGTTTTTCCCAGAATCCACTATACAAATCTCAGTAAACCAAAATGTTTGATACTTTATATATACGGCTACTAAATAAACTATTATTTATAATCATGTTGGGCGATTTATTCTCAATAAGGCTATATGTACCTGAAAATAAAGTGTTTTAATTTTGAAGTCGATTCGTTTCTAATCAATATATTGTCACCTGGTTTGTATTTTTCTGGCTATTTGCCGAAAGTTGATATGTCAATCAGTTGATATGTCAATCATTACCAGCTTTGCGAATCATGATAAGGAAGGTGTAAGGAAAATATTTTAAAGATATTTAAGTTAACGACTAAACATGATATATAAAATTACTCCATTTTAATTTTTGCAACAAGTTGATAAGTCGACATATCAAGTTTTGTCACCATCAGATTTAAAATGTGGACGGATGTTTCATAGACATATCAAGTTTCGGTTACTAGCTAACAGATAACATAACCAATTTTGTTGTGGTTTATTTTACTAAAATATGGTGGTATTTTGGTTCTTTTAAGAAAATTATTAGTAAAATGTATGCCGCATGGAAAGCTGTTAGTTGATATGGTTATTAGCCAACACGAAAATTCGGCAGTTTTAGTAAATATTGAAGAAACAGTATTATTATACACACTGAAAGTGAGGATTTAAAAAATCAGTGGGAAGTAATATAAAATATAAGAGGTTGTTGGTGTAAAAAGGAGATAATATAAGAGAAGTGAAATAAAGTTGTTTAGTTAATGCCAAAATTAAAGAAATAGGTTCAACTTCTGCAGAAACTGGTCATTCTGACTATGTTATAGTGTCATATTTGGGTAGTGATAATTCAGATGTAGATAAAAATTATATTTCTTCGGGTACTTCATCTGACACAAGTGGCAATGAGAGGCCTGGTAAATATTAAGCAATTCAATCTAAAAGGTGTTAATTAACAACTACTAAAGTAATTACTATTTAAATGGGAATAAGCCACAATTAAAGGTTAAAATACGTTTATTGACGTTTCAATTTCCACTTCGGAAATCGTTCTCAAAATACAAACATTAGAAAATTAAACAAATTTTATTTTTTTGTTACTTAGTGAAAAATTCTTCTAACAATTTAATTTTATCTGACTCATTTATATTGACAATTCAGACATACATTATACATTTTAAAGCAGACGACTTTAAAATTATATTGCCGCCAATGTTGTTGAGTTGCGCTCCTGGGACGACTTTACTTATGAGATAGTTCATTTGATTACATGAAATCAACTTAACTTGCGAATATCAATCAGAAAAAATTAGAGCATGTAATTCGTCTTTAAAAAGGCAAACACATGCCATGATGACAGTAAAATTCTTTTGTTAGTGATTCCATAGTAAATTATGAGGGAAAAACCAGTAAAAAAACTTCATAATACTATCCCGATATGGTAAGTATTTGGTCGTGCATTTAGTTTACTTTCCATAAACACCAAATTCTGATTTTATATGTTTGTTATTTAAAAAACATAAATGATGTATCCTTCATATGATACTGACTAATACTGGTAATTTCTTTTTACTAACTTCCTCTTTCAATATGGGTAACCAGATCCTGCTACATTCTGCCGAGGAATTTGCGACACAATTGGCCTCATTTAGCATAATTAGAGTCGCTTCTTTGATTAAGAAACATATGGTAAAAAGAGAAAAATCAACAAAGTGGCTCTAATTATGCTAAATGAAACCAATTGTGTCGCAAATTCCTCGGCAGAATGTAGTAGGATCTGGTTACCCATATTGAAAGAGGAAGTTAGTAAAAAGAAAGGTAAGTGATAATAATTTTACAAATAAAAATAATGATGGCAAAGGCCAAATAAATAACTCTAATGTTCAAGCTAAAAAACCACATTAAAACAGAGTAAAAATGAAAGAAAAGAAGATGTTAGGAGAACATATTACAAGAAAAGGTATACAAAAACCTGCAAATGTATTTCAAGCGCTTACTACATGCTGTTGCAATAAATGTCACGAAAAACTCTCCCTAGATAAACAAAAAGAAATTTTTTATCTTTTTCTTAAAAAAGTGCAAGACGAAGACCAAGTAATTTCTGATAGAATGAAGATAGAGTAAAGAAGAACGTGGAAATAATAAACACAGACAAATTGTGGTTTCATATTATATCACATATAACGACAAAACATTAAAAATTTGCAATGGGATGGTCCAGAATCTACATAGTATCACAATAGGACAAATTTTATTTTATATATATATATATATATATATATATATATATATATATATATATATATATATATATATATATATATATAAGCGAGGTTCCTACAGCCTCTGCCGTTTCTCGCATTTCGACCGCCATCGTTTTCTGTCCATCCATTCGTCTTCTCT